TATATCTTTGCTTTCAGTCAGTACTGCTATTTCAACAATATTGTAAAGCACATGCTGATATTTTGTTTGACGTTTAGCATCTACAAATAGACTGTCCCTCATTGGTCCAACATGACTAAATCAGTCAGGTGAGACAAAGTATGTGTGCACTCACAGAAGCCAAAAGTTATAATGACAGGTATAAGAGATAGGTGAGGAGAAAAAAAGAAAAAAAAGTGTAGCTGTGCAACAATCAAACATGCTTGTAAACCCCATGCTCTCCTCTTATTTGAACTGTGATGTCTTTTCATAAATATGTGATAACTTGGGGAGTTCAACAGAAGAGGCTGTAAATGATGATTTAATTTACCATTTCATTCCAACTGCATTTGATTAAATGCAACTTCTATATTTTCTTCAACCAAGTCTTCCCAAAAATGTACAAAACCCGTAATATAATTATCCCACCAACATGCTTTCTACCACAAGTACTAAACACAGCTTATCAAAATCCCAAGCAAAATCAACAGGAGCTGCAATGTTATGCAAATTTGCAAGTCAAATCTAGGTATACAAAGGCAGGATTCTTCCCTACTTTTTAGCAACTTTCCCTACGTTGCTGCTAACATGGTTCAAATACCTCTAAAGTGTTTTCCAGACAAGCAAAAGCCATTGGTATGCATTCTGTCATGCAAATGTCAAAGCATGCAGGTATCATTTGGTTTATTTTGTGGTCCAGCTATCTAATACACCCTTATAACTGAACTTCTATTCATTCTGCATTTCCTTTCATTCTTCCTTAAAAGGTTGAGAATGAATTGTAATCATGGTGTTCACATAATACGAGAAACATACTACCTCAACGGCTGAAGCAATATCCTTGCTCTACACCTTGGAAGTTCTCTGTACATATCTGAGCTTTGTATATGCAAATAGTACGTCTTTTACTACTGCTTCCTCAATACGCTGTTCTGAGTCAGTACTGCTTGAATTTGATATGACAAGTTCCTCACTACTTTATGCACATATCAAGGTACTGTCATCATAGAGAAGATACTAGAGCCATTACTTCTGACATCTTTTTTGAGATACTTCTCTTACACAACATTGTCTTCTATAATATTTTTTGCTATATTCCATCCATAATACAAGTATCTGGTGTTCATTTTTTTTGAAAGTAATGCATTTCACCTTTAGAAAAGGAGGTTTGCTAGCTAGGTTCTAAGCATGAAAACAAATTAGGAACTGTAATGCTACCACAAACTCTTGATGATCATTTTACAAACACTGCTTTGTGTGATACTACTTCTACACACAAAGATGCAACAAATTACTAATACATTTTTAAAACAGACCTCACATTCAATGCACCTTCCTTATCAAATGTACTGCATGAGTCATAAAAATATAAGGCAAGCTAATTGTTTGGTTACATGTTTTAATATTTTAGAAGATAGATGTTTGCAAAAGAGTAAACACAATAATAGCAGATGGTGGCCAACATGAATAGACTCAGTCTTGATTATCTGTGCATAATGGAGTTGCATAAAAGGCACAAAGAATGGGAAAAAGGGGAGAAGCGATCCTTCATGGAATGATATTTGTATAACATTGCTTCTCCACTTAATACAGAAAGCATCAGCCTGAATTAGAATCATACACCTCTGAAAGAAAACCCAAGAAAAGAGCTTCCAGGCAAAATAAAACATGGTTGCAAAGTAGACAAGATTAGAGAATAAAATTCCTAAAAATACTATAGCAAAAACCATTTTTTTTTGTGGTAAGAAATACACAGTAATGCACACTTTGTTATTATAGTTAAAAGGAAAATGAAATAGAGAGCCAGGAGAAGGAAGAACTTGGAAACATAATCCTGTCCTGCAGAGGAAAGTGAAGAAGAAAAAAAATGGGCATCTGAACTACCCTGGCAATATACTTACTACAAACATTAAATTATGAAAGTACTTCTTCAAAAGGTATAGAAGTATTTCAGTACCACAGACTTTCCCCACATGCCACTGGCCAATATCCAGATACTACACATATAAACACCACCAGCTTTTTATCCCCATGTAAAAGACAGTGCAAAATAAAGCCATGTTTGGTTTCTCTTCACCTTCAGTTACGCATGATTTGCTTTGTCCGTACATAAAAGCTAACTCAGTTGCTTTCAACATGCAGGTGTTAGAATGATAACCCACAATAACCACAACACCCACTTAGCATTTAAAGAAAGTGAAAACTGGGGCGGGGGGGGGGGGGGGGGGGGGGGTCTTTTGGATAAACACTCTCTTTAATAATTATAAGATGTTTATAACTAATTCCTTTTAAAATGCTTTCAAGGAAGCTTCTTCCAAATCCAGTTTTATAAATTTTTCACACAATGTAAGACACTAAGATCTTACCAAGAGTCAGTTTTGAACATCAGCGTCAACAGTAATTTTACTCTTTAAATATCAAGTAATATCTATACATTATTTTCAGTAATTACAAACTTATTTTTATTCCACACACTTAACACAAATAGCTGAGCCATCTTAAGCCTTTTTAAAGCCGGAATGAGTTCTTTAGATTAAAGTAACACTTAAACAAACAGAAACATTTGCTACTGTTCAACTACTACAACCAATCCATACAAAAGAGGTTGCAGACCTCACTCTGCGTCACAAGAAGCCCAGTGCACATCGTAATGATGCTTTGATGTGAAAATTAATTCACTTAGTAATATTCCTTGACAAAGCAGCTGGTGCCTTTCCAGAAGCCTCCTTTTAAGTCTGGAAACTATAGAAACAATGAGCATAATGGAAGACCTTCTTTACCAACTACAAGTTAGCAGCAGTGGAATTTGCCTCCTATTAGTTGAAATTACAAGTCAAGACAGAAAACTCCTTCTTTCTTTCAGATGAAATGAGAAGGGAAACACCAAAAAATCCAAGTCCCCTTCTGCCCCTAAACCATCCATTCCTGAAGAAAAACCCATAATTAACCACAGATTGAGACAGAAGATAACTTGCTATTGGTAAATGAGCTAGCAAGATCATCCTGATATTCCCCATAAACTCTCTTTAATCTATCAGCAGTTCTTTGTATTACAGTAGTGACCAAACACCTAAAAATCATTAAAACAGCCCAAATATATGCAGCTAAATATTTTCCAAGTCCCTGCCCACAAATCTACAATTACCATGTTTATAGAAAACCCATTTGTGTAAGGACAGAGTTTTAAATTTTTTTATTTTACAACATGATTTCAAGGTGGACATTGTCCCACGCAACCTGCTATACCTAACTCTGCCTGAGCAGAGGTACTGGACTAGGTCATTTTTAGCGCTCCCCTTCAACCTCAGTGACTCTGTGGAGATGATGAACAGCATTAAAGAGGTGAAAAATTACCTTGGATTTTATTTCAACTCAACACACACATGAAAGGGGGGGGTGCGTGTCTGATTTTCAGGAAGTGGAGCATGCAGTTGAGAAGATATTCATACATAGGAAGTGTCCAAATCAAACCCGTGCTGAAATAGAGTGACTGTTTTTAACTCAATGCAGCTGTCATTTATTAAATACCACCTACAGTGTGAAAGAACTATTTCCTTAAGGCTGGAATCAGAAGTGTCTTCTCTTTCCAATGTTGTCATTGGCAGGCCGCCTGTCACTTGGCTTGACTTTTGCAAAACTAAGCATTATCCTGAGTAAAGGAGCTAGCACACAACTAAGCTGAAATCCTCAGATGAATTACAAACCGTCACATATTAAGACATGAGTTTCACCTGCATGTTTCAAAGCGCTGAAGAAGCCAATGAGCAGAAAAGCTTGTTAACCAGCCTCGAGAAGCTTGGGCAGAATTGCATTTAAAGTTCTCTCAGGAAACTATACTTAAAACTAGAGCCCTACAAGAAGAGCACCGATTCAAGCTGCCTAAGTAGCCTGAGAGAAGACGACGGGTACTGCTGGCTGCACATCCCCTACTACTCGGCACGCTGATGGCCCTACTGCTGACTACTCTCCCGCCGCAGCAGTTCCGATCGTTACGGCAAGGCAGGGACGGCAACGTTCGAACTTCCAGCAGCGCCTCGCACGGATCGGCCCGACGCCCCCGGTGGGAAAGGCGGCGGCTCAAGGGAAGCCAGCGCGCCCCGGCCCCTTACGGGGCGCCCGGCTCCCCCCTCACGCCTCCTTCGCCCGGGGCGCCTCGCCAGGCCGGAGGCACGGGGCTGGCGGGTGAACAGAGAGGGAATGCTTACAACGGCGGCCGCTGACACCGCCAACCCGCCGGCTCCCGAGGCCACACGGCACGGCGCGGCGCGTGTGGAGCCGTCTGACGGGAGAGGGGGTGAGCGCGACAAACGGCCGCTACCGGCCCGCTCCCCTGCCGGCCCCGCCGGGCGCGCTGAGCTGCCGCGACCAACCGCCCGCCACAGCCGCGGCGTTACCTGCCGGGCTCACGCCGACCCCCCGCCGCCCTCCGGAACGGCCGCGGCGCTTTTTGATGACCTCACCCGCCCGGCACCGCCCCCACTTGCCTTGCCCCGCCCCGCCCCCGGGCCCCG